TCAGTGCCGTCCTCAAAGCATGTCCAAGTACATCCAATCTTGCTCCTCAAACTGGTTTCAGGCTAAACTTGTTCTATCCTCTAGACTTCAATGTAGTGCACACTTCATTTAAACATTTTTTTTTTTCAATATATATTTATTTATTTATTTGCTGTGTGTACACAGACGTTTCTCCCTTTTCCCTGCAGAAACATATTAGACATTACAAAAATAATTTGTGGTATAAAAGAATTCTCGCACAATGTAGAATTTTTTGTTTGTATATGTAACTAAAATATATATATATATATCTTTCCAAAAGTAAAAAAGTCAAAATGTCCTTATTTTCCTCTATTATATAGTCTATTTTATTTACAATGTTACCAAACAATATTCTGTATGTAAAAATGATAAGAGTTTGCGGGACACTTCCTGCTTAGCAACTTCTCAAGCGGAGTGTGGCTGGAAGAGGACTCCAACAAAAGCACTGCCACAACGTTATCAACCAGCACCTTCCTCTGCAATACGAGTTTCTTCCATACGAAGTGAAACCAGATCTTTGCCCTGCAAAACAGGGCAAGTTCTGACAGTTTGCCTAGAAAGTAGCACAAGAGGAAGGAAACGTGTTCTCTAGTTTCTGTGCTGGGATATTATGGGGCATTGGGATCCCTAATGGTGAGGCCTGACCCAACCAACCTGGAAACACCCCCCAGCAACGTTGCACCGCGTGGACCCAAAAGCTCCTGCTGCTTCTACTGAAACCAACAACTTCAAGTGGGAACAGCAGTAAGTCAGAAGACCCAAGTAAAATGCAGTGGAGTTACGGGAGGGAACTCACGGACCTTCTCTTTGAAACAAACATACACAAAGATCTTGGCATTTCCATAGGTGTAACTTTATCTAACATAGTATATTCTGTAAGAGAATTTCAGCTGAAGAACGAAGCAGACTAAAAAGGGGTTTTCTTTTGTCTTTAAATAGAGAAAACTTTATGATCAGGACTAGCTAAAATCCTTAATCATCATCAATCATCCCGGTGCCACTTAACTGAAGGTTAGACTGGTTTACAGCCATCTCTTATAACACACGCACGAATTTCAACACAAGCCATGTAAAATTTCCAGCCATGCCGTCCTAATGCAATTTCATTAGAAATCACAGCTCTCTCATCAAAAAAAGCAATTTTAGTTCCTGTGGTGTTTCCAGTTTCAAAATGTGAACTCAAACTTCCTCCACCTAGAAAACCAGCCCAGCCAGTGCAATAAATTCATAAAGGGAGTTACAGCGGAGAGAGGGCAATCCTGGCTCCTAAAGTCAAGGAGAATTTTTACTCAGGATGTTCAAGATTGACATTCACTTAAGAACTGCGATACAAGAGAGGAAGGTCAACAAGAAAATTCTGCAGCAAAGTTTTTGAAGAGCTACTTCCTCAAAGTCTGAACGGGAAGTGAAATGTCGTGCTTGGGAAGTAACAGAAGAGGTGTTGTACCCATCGTGTTCAAGGGAGTGTTAAGATGAAAAGAGCTGCAATCGCTTATTTACAGCTACACCTATGGACGTGCCCGATTGCTGACTTGGAAAAAGCCTCTGCAGTACTGAACAGAACCAAAATCACGTTGTCGATCGTGTAGATTAGTGATGAAGAAACTATGTGCTTGACAGCTCAAGTGTTGAAAGACCAATAAGTTAATCAGAGCTTGTCTTCATTAATAAAATAAAGAGATACCTGTTTAAAAGAACAGCTTTAGCTAAACTGGTATAAATCTGGAAACACGCAAAAGTTCAGGATTTCCTTCTCTGCTGCGATAGCAAGACACACATACCTACACACATTTAAAATTTGTAACTCTGCACATACGCAATTCGGAAATTCTTTTTAAAGTCGGTTTCAGAATCCTGTTGACAAGATGATCTATAAGGAACCATTACACCAGGGAAGATGTCATACTTTACAATCAACATTTGGTCAAAGTTTGTACAGCCGCGCAGTTCCCCGACGTAAGAAAAGCTACACGTGAGAATTTTTGTTTACGCCTTCTCAAAAGAGAAGATTTCAGAGACTGTCTAATAGGCTATTAAAATCATATGGCACTTTCAATAAATACTTTAAAGCTTCTTAAAGAAATCAGGATAAAAAAGCAACTGCTGTAAATAAGCCTGTTTTAGCCATAATACATCATGCTGAAGGAAAAAATCCAGAACAGCAAACAGATATCAACAGTTAAAAGACAGTACAGCTTTTTTCTTTCTGCAGCAATATGGACTGGCTCCCATTCCCGGAGAAATGGGAGCAAGCCCACCTCGAAACAAGTATTCACTCGATCATAACTTCTCTACGCTCCACCCCAACCCTTACATCACTTCACTTCTAAAACATAGTCACATTTTCATATAAATCTCAGTGCAGAAATGTATTACACATGAAAAGTACTGACCCCGCGAACCTTTACGCCTGTGCTTAACCTTAAGCGAGTGCCTAACGTCACGACACCAGAAGAGCTACCTACACGCTTAACGCTAAACACAGGCCCGTGGCAACATCAGGCCCAAGGATGTCAGCCACCACCGGGGACATCGCCTGGGTCGAAGCGGGATCGTTCGCTCTGGTTTCGTCACGGCGCTCTCAACAGAAGCACATTAAGAAACAGAAACTTCCAAACCCACACACGAAAATACAGTTACACGTGTGGACATACTAATATGCAATATACATTCAGTAACTTGAAAGAATAGGTTAAGACTTTATTCAGATAGACAAATTAAGGCAAATATCTAAATGTCTCTTCAAGATAAAGGACCATGTCCTCATTTATGACCTCTAGGTTTTAAAGCTATATTTTTCAAGGAATATATTTCAATTTTCTTTATATCTGCTCCAATTAGCGATTTTGTTTGCTTAATAAATTATATCTGTGCAAGGGTGCACGCTGACAATTTGGCAGTGGTAGGAAGTCCAATTCATTTACGTAATACAGACTTTTTACATTTTTTTTACAGGGTGATTAGTTCAGGACTGCATTTTGGCTTAACACAAAGAAGAATTTAGAAGTTCTGGCCATCCAATGGACATAACTTTGTCAGTCTAGCACGACACAGAATTCATGTTATATTCAAAGTCAAAAAAATAAAAATAAAAATAATAATAATCGTAATAAAAAAAAAAAAGATGTACTGTCCTTTCACTAAAACAGACCAAAAAAATAACACAGAATGGAAACAGCCTTCACAAGTAAGAGTGAATAATGCCCAGGTACCTTATATAGGCAGTTATTCTACAACTGTATACAGTTATTTACAATGGTGATTTATAAAACAAAACGAAAAAAAAATGGTAGCACTTCCTAAAAGATTTTGGAACTTTTTTTCTTTTTTTTTTCTTTTTTTAAAACTCCCTTGTCATAAAAGCCAACTTACATTAAAATATACTTACTACAAGACAACACAACTAACAAAATATATAATAAAACTCATACAAGTAGAAAATTCTGAGGTATTTCTGGTTTGAGGTGGTCTGTGGTCATGAAGTTTTAAATTTTTTTTTTTTCAGTTTAAACCTCGGAAGCCACGTAACGTGTGTGTGTGTGTTTTGTGGTTTGTTTTTTTTTTTTTAGATTTTTTTTTTTTTAAACATTGCATGTTTTGCAAATTAAAAAAATATTTCAATGTTGAATCAGCAGCATTAGGAACATTCACTGACTAGAGCGAGTTTATGGCATAATAAGAGTAACGGTATTTTAGAATATGCACCACTTTAAGACAAAAGAGTTTCGTCACAGAGTAAGGAGAAAGCAGCGTCAAAGAAACCAGTCGGAGAGATGCTGCGATCGTCACTGCTGCTGCTCAGCTGCCTCAGCATCCTGCAACTGGGCAGCTCCTAGGCTTCTTGGATGCTACAGGAGCCACATGTCACCAGTTCAGGTATTTCTACTCCCCCAACCCAAATTAAAAAACAAACAAACAAAAAATAGCCAGTTTTTGCACTTTCCCTCTTTTTACCATCTGCACCGGTAGCTTGGCCTGACAGATAATCAACCCCAAGGCCAAATTTCCTGAACTGACTTGCACTTAAACTGAGATGCAAAAATTTTCCCATCTTCTGATATTTTACCCAAGTGTTTCCAAGAACACACTTTCCCACCTCTTCCAATTACACTGCTTAAAAGCGTCCTTCCCAGTACTATCTGGAGTCGAAAAAGAAAAGGTAATTATAGTTCTGCTTTGTTCTTTTACCACCCAAGCCTGAGATACCGGAGGAAGAAAGAACTAGCACCTTGCTTACGACCACTGGCTCTTTAACTCTGCTTTCTCCATACAATGCAGCTGTTAATACTCTGCCCAGAAATGTCCTTCCCCTCCTCTAATGGTTACCTGAGAAGTAGCTCCATAGCAAATGATGTTTCCCCAAATGCTGCCAAATCCAACGTCACTCTCCCCTCCCCTGTTCTGTGCTCCCCCCTTCAATTCTACCATCAAGAATTAACATTCTCCACCCAGTTACGTTTTTTTTTTTTCCATGTTACAATGACACCCGTTAGATCCGTAAAAGACACATCTGCTGTTTGTTATTTTTGAAGCTCACTTCCAAAAAAAAAAAAAAAAAGAAACTGAACCCAAAACCAAAACAAAATGGGGTAAAAAGTCCTTTGAGGAAGGTGTATTCTTTACATAACAGTCATAAGTTTCCTCCACAGTTTGCAGCATTGCGTTTTCTAAGATGGTAGGTGGTTTTCCTTTATGTCACAGATGCTCCGCTCAGAAGACAGACCGATAAAGAGAAACCCAGAAAACTGAACAAAACAAAAACAACTGAAGTGAGTTTGTTGAGGTTCTGAGGTACCTGCACCTTTTCTGCATTCATTAGTCGGCACCTGAATGCTTGCTGAAATGTCCATTTTTTAATACAGTAGAGCAATGTGCTGGTAAAATTGATCCAATCCAAAAAAATAATAATAATAATAATAACAATAATAATAAAAAGTCAAGATAAAATAGCAGCTGCATTCATGTGTTTGTTGGATTTTTGTGTGTTTTTTTTTTTTAAACTTTTTTCTTTTTTTTTTTTTTTTTTTAAATCCACTGAGTCTGGAAAGACAAAAGTGAACCAGGACTTAGATACTAGACTCTTTGGGCGGCAAGTCCACGTTGGTGACGGACGTCACGATGGAGACGAGGCAGTCCGAGGTAGTGCCGTTTACGGATTTGCGGATCTGCGCAATGCGCTCCTCGACACAGCCCGCCGAGAGCCGAGCCTCCGCATCGTGGTCCCAGCACTCTTCGATGGTCACGCAGAGCTGCGCCAAGCCCTGCGGACAAGGAGGAGAAAGCACCTTCAGCAACAAAGTCTGCTCTGGGAACCGTCCTTGCAGCAGATGGGGAGGTCCACTTAACACAGCTTAATGCTGTAAAGAAAAACTATTTTCTCCACAGTATGCGAATTATCGTGATATTAGCTTTAAAAATTATTTTTAAATATGTGTTTTCAGGTTTTTTTAAGCTTCTGCTTTCTAAGGCTGTAGGGTTTAGTCTCATCCATTTTTTTTCCTAGCCTCAAAAGTACTTTTTTTAATATCAAAGTACATCCCGAGATTACAGTTCATAGAATCATGGTTAGGGTTGGAAGGGACCTCAAAGATCATCTAGTTCCAACCCCCCTGCCATGGGCAGGGACACCTTCCACTACACCAGGTTGCTCAATGCCTCATCCCACCTGGCCTTGAACACTTCCAGGGATGGGGCATCCACAGCTTCTCTGGGCAACCTGTTCCAGTGCCTCACCACCCTCAGAGTGAAAAATTTCTTCCTTTTATCTAATCTAAATCTCCCCTCTTTCAGTTTAAAGCCATTGCCCCTTGTCCCATCACTACATGCTCTTGAAAAAAGTCACAGTTAACAGTTAAACAGTTAAAGTCCCTGATTACAGTTAAACAGTTAAAGCTTTAAAAGAGAAGACATCAAGTATTATGAGTCACATGATAAAACCGTTAGAGCTGGCAGCACCATATCGGTTACTACGAAACCATTGCCTTGTTTGCAATCGCTTCCACAGATATCCCCAAAAGAACCAAATTTAACAGTGCTGGAAGAGTGCAGCTCTTATGTGAGCCCTCAGTTGAAATGGAACACTCATCTTTTATCTACAACCCACAGCTCTCCTTGACTTCTAGGCAATGAGTTAGTACAGCCGAGTCTAGCCAAAACCATGGCAGTTTGGTCAAAATAGAGGCATTTAGCTTCTTACTGAAGCCCTGTGCAATTTCATCATCTGCTTAGTTTCCCAGCCTGAAAAAAAATCACCTCTTTCATTAAAAACATAAGCCTGTAATGATCTACCTCTGGGAAAACCACACCGCATTTTGCTTCATCGTCTGCTTGCCTTCATGTCTAATTGATTTTTCCTCAAAAAATTGTGCAAGCCTTGCATGCTATCTAGCTTGTGAGGAACATGTCTCTGATCATTTTCTTTTCTTTAAAGAAAGGGACTATATTTTTCTATTTTCTCACCATATTATAGGATTCCTAGTAAACCACTACACACTGCACCTACAGCACTGGCTGGCTTTAATCAGCTGGTTTACTCTCTAAATACAAGGAACGAAGGGAAAGGGGAGCATGAAGGTGTTGAGCAGCCCCTCGCTCCCCAGCACTGACTCTCTCTAGCACTGAGGCACAGGTCCGTGCACTGGGGTGGACTGGTTAGCTTCCCTCTGAAGCTAACGAGTGATGCACAACCACATCCCTTCTTCCCAACACACAGGAAAACGTTTTCCACCGTTAACAAGGAGGGACGTACGGGGTGTTTCAGCCAGTGATCCTTGAACACAGGGCGCATCTTCTTGTGAACGACCACTTCTTGCAGGTCCTCAAGGGATGGGTGCTGACCTATTTCTTCTTCGAAAGGCAGCATATATTCATCCACTGGACCTAAGGTGCACATGGAGAATCAGGTTAGTACAGAAACGTCCTTCGCAGAGCCATGTCCTCCCCATGCATGAGTGAGCTGCAGCTCCAGAGCAGCCTCAACCCATCGCAGCAAAGCCTGAAGATCACATGTCATTGCAGACAAATGTGATTTACATTCCTCCTGCACAATGGACTTTGCCGTCCCCGCAGCTTGTCTGGCCATGCCTTTTCCGCCTCATCGAATCAAGAATCCAAACCCTCAGCTGGGCCTCTCGATCCCACTGCTCTCCTTGCGGAGGCTTGCTGGGTAGTCCGTGATTTATTTTAACTGAAAGACAGAATCAGCCCATCCTCCTCACATTTTAGCATAGCAATTCAACACACAATAACCTAAAGAAAGGTTTCAGCATGAGCATAATTTCATTTTAGTCACTGACTAGCAAGGTCAAGCATATGTGACACTTGTAATTTCTTGCTTTGTGCTCTGGCTTGTTCATCGGTTTGAGTCAGCCCTGACACAGTGGAGCCAGATGCACTTGTCCCAAGTACCAGCTCTTAAGTGTAAAATGATTTCTGAATGCTTTAGTTATACCAGTTATGGCTGTGAACTGCCCTGGGCCACAGGAATGAGACAACTGTTACGAACATCAGTGCAGATGCCGGACGGTAGCAATAACTTCTGCTTATTGAAACATCATTTGGCTTTTGGCAACGCGTAGATGCTCTCCCACAAACGGCAGCCCAGCTTAACTGATGGGCTTCCTCAGGGTGCTCCGTGGAATCACTCATGGTTTCTCGATAGCAAAGAATGACCTCTTTCAAGAGTGGAGATATTTCAAGAAGGCCTTTCCAGACTGAAATAAAAGAGCCGACCACTTTAGCTGGTCATGAACTGTGACACCAACAACATGATGTTTAGGTACTCTAAAAAAAATGAAATCACTAAACCAGCTTATCATTATTCTTATTGACACAATGCCAGTCGCTAAACCAAACTGATTCCAAGAGGAATCAAGGCTACAAAATGCTGCACTGGTGATCTCCAAGCCAAATTTGCTGTTTACACAACATCACTTCTGAGCTATGAGCGCGGATGAGGTTATGCGTAACTCCCTCTCATCCCAAAGGAAGCCGTCTCTCTGATAGAACTGTGCTGTGTACGGCACCAGGAGTATCTTGGACAACTGCTGCCTGAGAAGAGTTGGAAGGAGATCATAAACATGACAGGCAAAAATCCAAGTGCTTATTTGGGGGGCCTCAACAGAGAAGAGTTATTCCTACATGAGTAATCTGGGTACGACTGTTTCACCACACTGTGCTCCTACCTCCCTGCTCCTCTGACATTTTATGTGGTTAGATAGGAAATTCTTGAAGAAAAGCCCTTGTCTTACCACACGCCTGTGCAAACATCATAATTCTAATCAAGCTCCTCAGTCCTACTGTAATACTAACAAAAACATTTGAAGTCCAGGTGAGGTACTGTTCATTTATGAACTTGATATTCAGTTCAGAGCACCCATATATATACAAGAAGAAAGGAGTTGGAGCGAGCAGCCTTGGAGATACTACAACGACATGATTGCTTCCCTGACCGGGGCAAGGTCCTGCAAGTGGTGAGAGCGTCACCAAAGGGCAGACGTGTCATTTGGACAGAAAAGATGCCCCATTTTGCAGCATCGTTTTAGGATAAAAAACCTAGGAAAGGAGACACCATGAAAGTTCATTCTTTTCGCTAACCCAGGAGAAAGTGAGATCCTCCAAAGCTGTAGATGGAACAACAAATTCAGCCCACTGCTGAGAAAGGCCTTGATCAGCAAAAGTCAAAGATTAATACCTAACGACTTATCATAGCAGGGAAATGGGCTTGCTGACCCAAGAACATCCTTCCAGCCCTGTGTTCCTGCTATTTCACTGAGGTGCTTCACTTCTGGCCTTTCCATTCAGGCCACCGCACTGCCCTACAGCAGTGAGGTGTGGCAGCCAAGCCAGAGCTGAGCATGGCTCTTCCCTGGAGCTCAAAGCCTGCCGTGGTCACGGGCAGGAACGCAGAGCGTCACGGAGAGCGGCACAGGACAGGCTCAGGACTGAAGGACGCCCACCACTGATGGAGGGAGGAATCACCTACTCCTCCCTCTGCGTTCTCAGCCAATTTGCAATGTAACCGGCGTAGTTAAAAGCCCTTTGAGATTTGAGCACTACAAAGGTTATTATCTACAGGAAACGACAGCTTATGTTAAAAAACGAGCAAGTGAAAAACAGGTTAGCTGCTTAATAAAATTACATCATTGTTTTTGTTTGTTTGCTTGTTTTTTATACAAAGCCGGGCCCATTCTCTGGACCCCTAAACCCCCCGCTGAAACAGAGCCCTCCCTCTCTCAGGGAAGAGATGAATTTTATTCTTACCATCAACTGCTCTACATCTGGAGACGAGCTCCCATAACACCAGTCCCATTGCATACATGTCTATTCTCAGGAAGGCGTCTCGTTGGAAGTTGATTGCTCCCTCTAACACTTCGGGAGCCATATACCTCCTCGTTCCCACCTACAGAGATAAAAGAAAACCCCCACAACTCAAGTTACATTCCAGTTGGGCCCGTCAGCCTCCGCCGGCCGGAGATGAGTGACAGCTGGTTTCATTAGCCTTAAGGCTACTTCGGCTAAAGTTGCACCTCACTTGAAAAACAGGCAAAAGAGGGTTGTTTTTTTTCTGAACACAGATTCTCATTAAGATCACTCGAATCTAGATAAGCTACCTGAAGGAAAAAGCCAAAGCGCACGGCTACGTGTATGATATTCATTCAACGTACGTTACAGGTCTAATTTATATGCAGCGCGGCACGGTGAGTATGGATGAAATTCTGCCTTCCCTGCGTCCCACCGCATCTTGCTGCATGAGAAAATGCTTGTCTTTGGAGACACACGAAACACCCTGAGGTCAAGTCAGACTTGGTTATCATGGTCGGTGAAAGTTCAATCCCTTTTCACTAAAAGTAAAATTGATTTATCCTGAAATGGTAGGAAAAGGTGTTGGTTTGACAGCCCTGGATAAAACAAGTCTCCTGTATCCACCGGAATAGTGAAGCATGAACACTGCAAAGTCTGCCCTGCCCCGGCTTGCCATGATCTGGTTTGGAAAGGATTCCCTCTCGCTTTGAGGGGACTCAGTCCTCAGTAGAGTGCCTCTCTTGTTGTCTTTAGTCCATGTAGAGCCATACTGAGCTCCTCATATAGCTGTGGTTATATTCGTGGCAGAATTATAGCCCATAACGTAGGGGAGTGCAGAGGAGAGGAAGTGAAAAAGCATCTTTTTAATATGGGAATTGAAATGCCTTTAATATTTTCCTTTAGGAAATTCTCCTCTGTTCTTGCTGTTACCTGAGGCAGTGGGGACTGGGAGAAGCCTACATGTGAAAAGGTGTGGAAAATACAGGAAAAGTCAAAAAAAAAAAAAGAGGACAAAAATGAGGAAAGCTGGAGGGTTAACCTGGAAAAGGGATAAATGTAAAAAAGGGAGCCTGCTTAGGAAACAGGCATCCAGAAAACCCCGGAGGCACACGGAGGGGATGCTGGCCTTGCTGTGCCCGGGCACGAGGGCAGAACCAGGGGCTGCTCACCGCAACGCAACGGCAGAAAATTAAGAACCCATAAAAGCGTAGTAAATTGTTTACGCAGCGCACAACGAGCTCGTAAGATCTGCCATCGCTAAAGGTCACCCAAGCGACCTGCCTGGCTGAATTCTTAAACATAAATGAATATTTTCAGGAGTATTGATATTTAATACGAAGACAATAAAGAGTCAGCATGTCCCCTGTTTGAAGCTGCTTGCCCCCAGGCCGGGGGGATTCCACCTGCTCAACGATCAGGAGAGAACGAGCACTCTCCCTGCTCACCCAGATCAAAGCAACCCCTGGAATTTATGTTTAATCATAAGCTTTTACGGAAAACACATATCTCAAAGAGAACTAAATGTATCTATACAAACTAACACCCCCAACTCCTGAGCCGCTACAGCAAGCTCAATTTTTTAAAATATTATTGTTAAAGATAATGATTACCTGTCCATGAGTGTCTCCTGGAGGTTTTCCAGGTTCAAACCGTACAGCTAGTCCAAAATCGGCTAGCACTGCCGTCAAGTCGTTCTTCAGCAAGACGTTTTTACTCTTGAAGTCCCTATGGATAAGCCAAGAAGCAAGTTTGGGAAGAGTTTATTACAACACGCGTCTAAATCACACCACGTTGTAAGTCTATAGGCTCAGCAGCCCCCAGTAAATCAGCTCCTTCTTTCCTTCCCTGGCTGCCCGGCATGGCCAGCGCTGGCAAATTGGGCTGCTCCTCGCTGCCCATGCCCCTAAGCCACAACCAAGCAGCCCTGTGCTGCCCGGCACAGAGTCAGCCAAACTCTATGACATGCAAATTCATGAAGCATTCCATATTTTTTGGCCAGGTTGGATGAGGCTTTGAGCAAGCTGATGTAGTGGAAGGTGTCCCTGCCCATAGCAGGAGGGTTGGAACTAGATGATCTTTAAGGTCCCTTCCAACCCAAACCATTCTATGATTCTGTGGTGAATTAACCTCAAAATAAAAGCAAGGAGTGATACAAAGGGGGTGTATAAGGCACCATTTCTTGCTCTGAGCACCAGCTGTGGACCCCCACCTCTGGGCACTTCTTCTATTTCTTGCTCCCATCAACAAATGCAAGACAGGTTCAGAGGGTGCATTTACTCTTTATCCTCGTAAGGATGTTTGCTCTTATCTACAAAATTAGATCTTCCTGGAAATTAGCAGATGCTGGTGGGACTCTCTTCATCCTGACTACACGCTGCAACAGACTTTCGCCATAGTCATCTGTTAAACTTCTGTTTTAATTGCTGGATCAATCTTCCCTAGAGAATTTGGAAGGTTGGAAAGCAGGCAGGGAAGGGGGTGAGCCCCCACTCAGACAAGCTGTCAGGATCAGACTGGGCAGCTGACGGGCAGGTGTTAAGTATTTGCAGAAGAGATGGTGGGTCTGTGCTTGAAGGTGGCTTTAAGGGGACATTCGTGTCAGTCCTGCGCTGCAGCGGGATCCTTTCAGGGCAGCTCAGGTAAATCTGCAAGGGCTGGAAAGGGGAGGGGTGGGAGGTGGAGGAGGCTCACACTGAGATGCCTAACCAGTTGAGCCCTGTTCCCTGGGCTTCCCGCATTTTCATCTGAAAAGGAATGTTTGGCAATCTAATTAAATTACAGACCTTAGACAGCAGATGGCAATTGTCCTGTATGCTCAGCATTATAATTTCCCTATCATCAATTCACTCGGTGACCCTGCTGATTGCAGGACATTGCAGGCCTGCACAAAATAATTAATGAGGGCAGATACAATTGTTCCGCACTAGAGAGACCTGTCAAAATTCTTTGGGAAGAGAGAAACTGTTGGACCATAGAGAAGGGCTGCTCGCTGCGGCCTCAGATGCCAGAGCATCAGCTCAAAGCACCGCGAGCAATAAAAATCATCCTGTACCACCCAGGCCCTGATTCTGAGCTTTAAAAAAAAAAAAATCAGAAGAAAGGATTTTTTATTTCTAAGCTAAACACAGTGTGATGGACATTTCTGGCTTGGGAATTAAGATGGGGGAAGCGGGTGTGAAGTTGGAGAGCATCATAGAGCCGAGGAGCCCCAGCAGAAACCAGCCTCCATCACCTCAAGAAGACACACGGGGTTTCTAGGGACACAGTACAGTTTTGTACAGCCTGCAAAACATTTGTACGCCTCTGTTACACCGAAACCCACCATTTACCTAATATCTGTCATCTTAGAGACCAACCGCTTCCATGCTATAGCAGTTTCCCCAAAGGCTTAGAAAACAGCCATCATCTAATGACAGAGATAAACTCCTTTGCTCGGTCAGCATTAGGGGATTACGCCCTCCAGGATGGTACAGATTGTGCACGAGATTTTTGAAAAACAGTGGCTCAACATAGACCCCACAGAAATTATTAGACAGGCTGCCCAAACGATATATTTCCAAAGTATCACAAGAAGTAAACCAGGATTATTATATGAGCGTTTGCTGCTGTTGTTTACCAGCACTGCCCTTTGGGCATGCAACAGTTAACGACTAAATCTTGACCCATGATGCAGGGATTTCCCTTTCCGATTCCCTTTTTTCCCCCCTATTTCGATACATTTCCCTATTTTCCTATGCATGTCTTCCTTCCGCAAACCACTCTGAACTGGCAACTGTGAGCTGCAATGCAAACATATTCAGGACAGAGAAAAAGAACTGATCCAAGCCACGTCAAGTTGAATTCCCACTAACACTGCATGCGTTAGACCATCCTAAAATGGTCACTGATAAAGAAAAGCGGCCTGAAAATAAGAAAATATCCTTTTTTCCATGTAGCGCTTGAAACTAGGGAATAAGAGAGCGAGCGGACTATGAACGTCGGGTGCGTGTTAACTCAATTCAGATGCTGGAGATTTTATTTTGAGCTTCCACGTGGGGGCACTTTCGCATCAACAAGCGATCCCATAACCTTAATCCTCCTCTTAGCGCCGGGGGCCAGCAAGGAGCGAGCTGAACCCCTTCCCAGCAGCGACTCGGGGGGTCCCACCTGGCAACTCCGGCACCTTTGCACGCGTTGCGTTAAGCCCTTCAAAAATACCCGCTCCCAGATTTAAAACGTATTTGGTGTTTTCTTTTAAAACAAAAATAAAACTAAAAGGAATGGGGTAATAATCCAAGGGAAATCCCCTGTGTCCTGAAATCCCTCTGCAGTAGGTATGTGCTAAGTTCACGCGAAGGGTGCATTCTCCATCTTTTATCATTTGCTAAATGGATGGGGACACTAACGAGCATGATCTGTTGCTTTAAAGCCTTTCTATAGCCTTTCTCTGTTCCCCATCCTCAGGAATTTTCATGTATAAACCACTGCCTTTATTCCACAGGGACAAATGTCAGGGCTACAGAGGTCAGCTCCAGGAGCAGCACAAAGGCAGCTGCAGGCTCTTTCAATAGCCCCCAGCTCTCAGAAACCCTCACGTTCGGGGAGGGGGGCTGTTTTGGGGGCAGGGACGCCCTGGCAAAACCAAGGATTATCTTTGCCGTACAAGAAGATGGCCCCGCTAGATCGGGTACGAATCGCTGCAGCTGGACGTGGGGTTTAAGTCTCTCCTAGGAGAAATGCGGTGGGCGGTGGGGGAGTACGGCTGCGGATTACGGCGCGTAGCCCGCGTAAATCCCTTCTGGAAAACGCCCCCCTCCTGCCGTGCCACTAGAAAACTGCTCGGTTGCGACGCTTTAGTCCAGGGCAAGCGACGTGGGACTGTAGAGAAGGGCTAAACCAAGTATTTTTGCAATAAGGATGGTTTTACCCACTGATTTCTGGCTTCCCACAGTCCCATGGTCCCCACCCAGGTGGGTTGAAGTGTGTGCCAAGAGGTCTCGGAGGCACCCTGGCACGATCTGGGCACTATAAAAATACAGTGAAAAATAGATAGCAGCCATTTTCTGCGTTTCTATAGTTTCTCCATTTCTTACCGAATGATCAAAAGCTCTGTGGGGAAACACGCAATGGAGTTATCAGTCTAAAACACTTCAGGGAAAAATAAGAGTTCAAATCTTAGTACGGCCATAGAAATGGCCTGGAGAAAAGAAGGCTCTGAGGTGATCCCATAAAAGTCTTCCAGTACCTAAAAGAAAGCTGGAGAGGGACTTTTTGCAAGGGTGTGTAGTGATAGGGCAAGGGGCAATGGCTTTAAATGGAAAGAGGGGAGATTTAGATTAGATATAAGGAAGAAATTTTTTACAATGAGGGTGGTGAGGCACTGGAACAGGTTGCCCAGAGAAGCTGTGGCTGCCCCATCCCTGGAGATGTTCAAGGCCAGGTTGGATGAGGCTTTGGGCAACCTGGTGTAGTGGAGGGGGTCCCTGCCCATGGCAGGGAGCTTGGAACTAAATGATCTTTAAAGTCCCTTCCAACCCAAACCATTCTATAATTCTATGAAATACACTGATTGTAGTATGATTTATCAAGCACGGCCCTTTCAAAGAGTGGTTCTGCAGCAACCAGATTTCCCTTCCCACTACATGTCAAGAGAAGAGTTGATAGAAGAAGAAAGTACTTACCCTTCAAACATTTGCCATAAACCACTACCAACCACACAGACTGTTTCATGGACAGGACGCTTACGTGCCCTTTGCCATTTCATATGTGGGTGAAAAAAATTCTTGTCTTAGCATAGGATTAGTTGGGTTAAAAGGCATTTACTTCCTAAAAGCACAATCTCCTCCCCCATTCAACAGCATCATTTCAAGGAGGTTGTGAACATTTGAACACAGCACTTGAATGGCATCAACAAAAGAGGCCGTACCTGTGTGCTATAGCAGGTTTGTGTCCTTCACCTTTGCACCAAGGGACGTCTTCGTGTAGGTAGGACAAGCCACGGGCCATTGTTTCTGCAACGTGGCAGAGTTCATTCCAGCTGATAATATTGCCCTTCAGGTAATCCGTCAGAGAGCCCTGTGAAACAGGACATCGTATGTTCTTAATCGCAGACCCTGCTACCTGACAGATACGCCAACTCATCAGTTTAGAAAATGGTTTTAATGAGCGCTTGAGAAATCTGAACCTTGATTTAACAGGGGGGAAAAAATCACTAGTGAAAGCCTTTGAAAGCACAGAAAGTACCTGCATGTCCAAAAGAAGTCTACTAATCTGCCAGGGAAGGGACAAAAACATCTCAAAACAGAGCAATTCATCTAACCCAAGAAAGGGGAAAGCCTTCCATGCAAGATGATGATGCATCGTTATCAGCTGGTTGTGGCAATAATTGACTCAGTAGACCTTGGATTAAACAGAGGGATAACGCTGCTGGCTCAACCCTGGATTTGTGCGTGTTTGTTTTGTTTTAAGTGTTAGTCATGTTTGATAACTAAAGCAATTCATGAAATAGGAGATATGCCCCGAGCTTCAAAAGCAAACACGGAGCCCATCTAGAAGGGGTGAGTTGGGACTGTGATGGTCTGCGACCCCCAGCTCCCACGTGTTCATCTACCCACGTTAAGAGATGGTGACCACCACATACGTGAGATGTGGCCTTTTGTGCCTCTCTCCTCAGGTCCCACCTTTATTAATCCTATTCTGGTGTAGGAAAGCTTTGAAAGCCAAGGGAAGAGCCTTTGAATTGAGGGGAAGCAAGAGCAGTTCTCCGTTACCACTGAGCCATGGCTCACCAGGGACAGTCTGGATAGATTACAGGGGAGCTTCTGGGACAGTATTAGACATCAAATCCCACTGCTTCACAACCATCGCCTCTCTGTCTTCCCAAAAATGTATGTGCAACGATACATTACCTTGTCGTGGAAAGCTGTGATCAGCCAGAGCTCTGTCTCTAGGTTTGTCCCTCTTTTCTCCGCTGCGATAAATTGCAAAAGGTTTTCATGCTTCATGCCAGGAGTATTGAAAATCTCCCTCTCGCTCTGCCAAGATTGCTTATCCTAAAGCAGGGAGAAATGCACCATCAAAGATCACACTTCCCTTTAAAGCAAACAGCTCCTTCAGCTCAGAGTTGCTCACGGTCCTCTTAACATCATCCTCCAGTGTTCGGATGCGATGCATCCCTTCAAAATAAGGCTGTTTTCCTAAAGGGTAGATGCTGAAGAAAGACTGCAAGTTGCTGTTCTCAGTCTCCCTTCTCCAAAATTATCCTCAGTGATTCCTAAAGCACGTGTGAGGGGAGGGGGGAGAAATCCAAACCCAACCTCACTGAGAAATAAGATTTGTCAAGATTTCCTAAGGATACTTGCAAGAATAAAGCCTATGCGTACAGCACCCAGATCTGCATTGTAGCTGTAATCGTTACGATTGCAAAATCTAATCTAGGCTCTATTGAATATTTACTAGTAGGTCACAGCTGGCTTGGACAGAAGATGTGCAAATCTCCTTTAGCAACGCTACGACAACAGATATGGGGCAAAAAATTAACGATGAAGGAGATAACAGAGGAGCACAATGATGATTCGGTCATTTT